ATAACCAATTTTGATGCAGACGAAGAATATAGGATTTAGACAGATAATTCAGGATTGACAGCTCGGATGTATTGGAGGCTACTGCATGGCTTTAGTTGTGTGGATTAGAGATAAAAGCCACAGAGCTGAACAGCACTTTAAAGGACAGGTTTATCGCTTTCAAGTTAGCAGCCTGTGATCACAGATGTCCTCATCCAGCGAAGCTGCCAGGTTCAGTTCAAACACTGCTGCGCTCAAATTCAGTCAAACTGGTTTCAGAGTTCACTTTCACACGAGAGAGTTAACAAAAAAAGAAACTTGGAGAAGATTATTTGTCGTGCATAAATAAATTGACTCATCATATCATTTTATGAAACAAGATACAGGATGGTGACAGCTTAGAAGGGAAATAATTTTGAGTTATTTTAGTACTTGTTAAGCTACCTTAGGAATTCAGATCTCCTTCGATGCACTCTGTCCATTTCACAGGTTTTATGAGCTAAAGTCTTCTTTCTCATTTGGAGTTTTAACAATGATGTTTGTAAGTTCAATTTAAAGTGCAATTAAGGCAAATTGCCATTATCTTGGTGTTTTGTGTTTGATGGACTCTCATTCTAATAAAAATCATTACAAATAGCTTAAAAATAAAAATATGATGATAAGCAACTCTGACAGCTAGATTTAAATGAGATCACAAACATGATGGAACACATTTTATTTTTATCATGTTAGGGGTTCTCAGGTGGAAGATACGACTCAGGATGTAGATCCAGTGTAAACTTAAATTGTCTTTGTTAAAGAGGTCTTTAGAATCTCAGAGCAGATGGCGACTCGGTCCCACACTGACCACAGCAGATAGCGTACATACAATGACTACTGATCCCACAAGTGGCACAGAGAACAGAACAGCTTATAAAGGCTGGAAACTACTTAACCCAACAGAAAACACCGGGAAGTAATAATCACCCAAAGAGAAACACAGGAGCTGGAATCAAAGAAAAACAGACCGAAATAAACACAAAACCCCCAAAATAAGTCTAGAAAGGTGAGTACAGTCCGTTTTTGACTGAGGCCTGGTTTTTGCAGACCCATCGGTGTCCCCAACCTGCACTGATGTACAGCTTTTTTGTATGACAACACTCAACAGCCCATACATTACCATAACTCCAGTCAATTTATGCATTTTATTTATTGACCTTTATTTAACCAGACAAATCCCAGTGAGATCACAGATCTCTTTTTCAAGGGAGGTCTGAGCCTGAAGCAGCCTAACATGCATGTTTTTGGACTGTGGGAGGAAACCCACGCAAACCCGAGGAGAACATGCAAACTCCACACAGAAAGACCCAGGTCCAACTGGGGGATTGAACCTAGGACCTTCTTGCTGTGATGCAACAGTGCTAACCACTGAGCTGTCATGCTGCCAAATGTCAATCATCAGTCAGAGAGACTGAAGAATCAAATGGTTTGGATCTCTAGTGAAATAACTTTTTATTTTTAAATAAACTTTTAAAACTTCTACAATGGTTCTCTGGATTGAACGTTCTCGTGCAATGGTTAAGTTACAAATATACTACGGTACTTTTAGCGTTAATAGTGTACAAATCCAGAAATCCAAGACCGTAAGCAGCAGAAACAGCAAATCATACTGAGAGAGACATTCAAACAGGCTGTTTTATGATATATGACCTATATGTTATATTATCTCCAAACATACTATGTTTAGATCATGTATCATAATATGATATACCATTTTATATATCTTATGTACATTTCTTATATCTCATTATATAATACATCACTTATAGCTCACTGTATCATCATATATCTTATACAAAGTACCATTTATCACATCTCATATCATTTAACAGTTCATTTTTTCTTGTCTTTTATTCTGTATCTAATCGTATCTAATGTATATCTTGTAGATCTAATTTCATTTATGTCCTATATATTATCACCTCTTGCATAGTTTCACATGCTTTATATATTTCATTTCATACCATGGATCACTTCTCCTGTCACACATCATATGTCTTATCTTTTTATACACCCATAGAAGTTAGATGTACAATGGTATAGTCTTCGTTCATCCAGCTGTATGTCCATAAACTTTCTCTTGTCCCTCCCATCACCTTTGATCTGCTTAAGATAATGAGACTTCATACTACACGTACAACGTCACTAGACATTGCCGCTTACACTTTTCATCACCCAGCTCCAAATTCAATGCCACAAATGAATGTTAAAAGTTATTTGCTTGTCTGGGCCATTGCTATAGATTGCGGTATAATAGTTTGTTGACGGGCGTATAATGCGCCTTATGTGATACTCTTGTGAATCCAATCATGCCAAATCAATCTTTGAAGTCTCCAGTTCATGTTGTTTGTAAAGTTCCGTCATTAACAAAAATCATACAAGTTATTAAGCAATCTTAGATTTAAAACCTCATGCTGTCCTGCAATGCACTGAGGATGTGCTGCTGTATGAACGGTGGTTAGATTTCTGTCTGTATACTCCCATTCTCTCCCCTCATTCTTTTAATATTCCCCAAACATTTTTCTTTTGCATCTGAATGTTTTCTCTTATCTTAAATGGAACAGCTTTGCTAATTTTTGGTCCAAAACGACAATAAATGTTCCTCGTTGCTGCTGTGGAAAAAAGCAAACATTCAAGGAAAGCGCTGGAAATAGTTGGGAGTTCACTTGTTCATTTGTAAGCTGTGAAAATAGCTTTTGTTTTCCCTGTACACAGAAATGCACTACATATTTTATGCTATAATGCGATATGTAATATCTCTGAGCTATTTCAGTCTTATCTGCAGCAAACCGTTTTACACTTAAGTGACAAAGTTGTTTTATGTTGATAACTTTTGCTCTTTTTGCAGTTTAGACTTTGCATTTTCTTCTTCCTGTTTCTTGTCCTTGTGTGAAACAAATAGCAACAAATCTCCTGCGCAGCATTCATTAAAACCCATTGTGGGACCTCAGCGAAGGGGTGGTCCGAGCATTAGCAATGACTGCTCACTTGTGAAAGAGGTTATCAGCCTGTGCCGCCGCTGAATAGTGATGAACATCTGTGTGCTGGGAGAGCTTACGCCAGCCACGGCTGCAGCTCAAGTTTACTTTCCGCTGACTGTCAGCAGAGAGCAAGGCGCTGCCGAATCCACAGGGATACCTCCGCATTTCAAAAAACCCACCTTCCAGAAAGCCTCTCACAACAGATCGGAGCGTGGCGTCTGACAGCCAGGTGCTGTCTTAAAATATACATGCACGCACAGGAACAGCCATAGGAGCTCACATAGACATGCCAGACTTGAATCTGCAGCTGGAGAAAAGTTTCCTTTTTCTTGTCCTCTGCAAGTGAAATATCTGTCTGATCACTTTTGGCGTGCAACTTATTTTATTTATTTAGGGATCTTTTTATTGTGTTTTTTTGTGAGGTGAAAACTTCTATATAAAGCAGGAATATGAACAAGAACTTGAAACTTGGGCTCCTTGTTTCCTTTTCAGGGTTGTTAGGAAAGACCCCCTGCCGTGATGAGAGGGATTCACAGTGTGAATGTATTTTTTTGGTTGGGCTTTTATTTTATTTTTTTTTGTACTTTAGGATTTCTCTATGCCATTGAGGAGAATTTTCCTGCGTCTGGCTCCAAATCAGAAACCATTGCAAGAGTTGCCAATAAACACCAGATATATTTTAATAGAAGCTTGTTTATAATTGTACCAGCCTAATGCCAGGTTTTTTTCACCTTGTGCTGTTACTGTCCTTGGTGTTGTGAGCGTTTGTGCACACAGTTGGTTTATCCGTTCCTGTGTGTACTTTTCTTGAGTGATAACGCTTCAGAGTGTAGAAATTATTAGCTTTTTTTTGGGGGGGGGGGGGGGGGGGGTTAATGCTCATACTAAACTGCCTCCTGCTCAGTTTGTTTGTCTGCTGTTGTATTATATTGTGTTCCTCGGTCTAATTCAACTTTTTATTTGTTTGTTTTTCAGTCATCAGACACAGACGACCTGTTGGGATCATCCAAAGATGACAGAACTCTATCAGTCATTAGGTACAAAATACTACACTGTACTATGTTTTGTAACATTGGGTCTTAATTCACAAAAGAGTGTCCAAAAGTTTTAGTTAAATTTTAAATTTTGTCAGAGCTTGGTTCGCATTGCCCGTAGTAAATCAGGCTTGTTCCCAGTGAGAGTTGGACTCCGCCAAGGTTGCCCTTTGTCACCGATTCTGTTCATAACTTTTATGGACAGAATTTCTAGGCGCAGCCAAGGTGTTGAGGGTGTTGGTGGCCTTAGGATTGCGTCTCTGCTTTTTGCAAATGATGTGGTCCTATTGGCTTCATCAGGTCGCAGGAGCAGTTCGCAGTCGAGTGAAGCCACCGGGATGAGGATCAGTTCCTCCAAATCTGAGGCCATGGTCTTGAGCTGGAAAAGGGTAGAGTGCCCTCTGCAGGTTGGGGAGGAGGTCCTGCCCCAAGTGGAGAAGTTCAAGTATCTTGGGGTCTTGTTCATGAATGAGGGAAAAATGGAGCGTGAGATCGATAGGCGGATAGGTGTGGCGTCTGCAGTGAAGCGGGCGCTGTACAGGTCTGTTGTGGTGAAGAGAGAGCTGATTCAGAAGGCAAAGCTCTCAATTTACCGGTTGATCTACGTTCCTACCTTCATCTATGGTCATGGATTGGATTGTGACCGAAAGAACGAGATCACGGATACAAGCGACCGAAATGAGTTTTCTCCGCAGGGTTTCTGGACTCTCCCTTAGAGGTAGGGTGAGAAGTTGGATCATCCGGGAGGGACTCAGAGTAGAGCCGGTGCTTCTCCACATCGAAAGTAGCCAGTTGAGGTGGCTCGGGCATCTGGTTAGGATGCCGCCTGGACGCCTCCCTGGTGAGGTGTTCCAGACAAGTCCTACCGGGAGGAGACCCAGAGGAAGACCCAGGACACGCTGGACGGACTATGTTTCTCTGCTTGTCTGGGAACGCCTCGGGATTCCCTCAGAGGAGCTGGCCCAAGTGACTGGGGAGAGAGAAGTCTGGGCCTCTTAAGCTGCGACCTGACCCCAGATAAGCAGAAGAAACTGGATGGATGGATAATTAAATTTTAGTTATTACAAATATTGGCACTTGCTTAAAAATATTTAGCAGCTTGTGTTTATTTGACTTGCTAAAAAAAATCTGATAATGTTTGACTATTGTGCCTCCAGTACAGTGATTGCATCAAAATTAATCCTATTGATTCAGCAATAATGATGATTCCTAATGATTTCTGTCTTTTATACACCAGGAAACTACTGGTGTTTAAATACCAGACTCATTGTCATTCTGCATATGTTTGACAGCTGGCAGGTACAAGAAACACATGGTGTATCAGTAAAACAGTGCATAGTTCTAACTCTGAACACATGTAGTTACATGCAGGGACCCAAAGAAGGTCAGTTTATCTAGTGAAAGTAAAGTGCTATGCATTGTCATCATTGTATGTTTCTATACACTGATGACATTTGTGCTGCATTTAACCCATCACACATGAGATGCATCCAGGTGGAGCAGCGGGCAGCACCTGGGGAGCAGTTAAGGATTAGGCGTCTTGCTCAAGAACACCACGGCATGTGGGCATGGCAGGGAGTTGAACCTGTGGCTTTCTGGTCTTAAGGCTGCTGCCCTACCACTGCACCACAGCCGCCCTATCTTTGTTAGATAATAGAAAAGTTCTAGTTGATATATTTGTTGGACTGAGAGTAAAAGCAGAACCTTCAGCATATGAGACAAAGGTGTACGAAGCAGCATCCGAATTGAAATTAACCAAAAAACTAAAAAAAACCTGCAACAGGTTTTAATGATGGTGGTTACAGCTACAGGTAATACAGATCATTTTGAGCTCTTTCAAAGTTTCCAGTAGAAATGTTGTGTCGCTCACTGACCAGTTTAGCTTCCCTGACATGCTAATATTAGCATCTAGCCAGGCAGAAATGACAAAGTCGCACATGTGCAATCAGGTCAGTTTTTCACAATCAGAAAAAAATGAACGGCTCAAGCGTTTACATGCGCACCGTTCGGATTATGAATCGGCATAAACCACCCGTTTCGTTCTGATCACAAATTATTTTGGAACTCGCTGAATAAACAAAAAATAACCCGAATGGTGCGTTTACACGACACATTTTTATTCCGAACGGCCGTTTGATCCGATTACTTATGTCCCTATAAACATAGCTATTGTCAGAGAGTCCTCATGAAAAGACATTTCCTTTTACAACTGAATGATAAAATGTGTCTTGAACAGCTGAAATAAATACTAGCTGTAATTTTGAAGGGGGCTGAGGTGGTGAACTTTCCATAATGTCAGTGAAAAGTTCTGTTCAGGGTTACTTGTTCAAAACAACTTAAAGTATCTCTGAATCTGAAGTGTTTTGTCAAAGACTGGTTGAAAATATCCACATCACAAATGGAAACACATAAAAAGCGTCTCTGCCTAAAGGGAGCGGCTCAGTTGCTGTTTTTTTAAGTTGATAAAATTTTAAAGTAATGCTTCATTAACATAATATGTAAAACTCATTTTAACAAGTGTTGCAGAGGGATTTATTTACTACTTTTGACTTTATAAATAAGATAAGGAGTTTGCCCAAGAGGTGTGCTAACATTGCATTTAATTACACACAGTAAATCTGGTCTTTATATTTATCTGTCTGTCTGTATCTCCTGTCTGTGTCCATTAGCATGTATGCATCCCTGAGGTGTGGTCAGTGTGACTGTTCTTTATTAAACAGCCTGATTGGTGTCAACCTTTGAAACTTTGGGAACGTTTTCTGGAGGCCAGCAGCTCAACAAATGGCAACATCCTTTCTCAGAGACAGAACTCTCTAACCTAATTGCGCTGTCCACATTAGCAGCCCCTAATTCAGTCGTCTTCTTGGACATAAACTACCAGAAGCCAGGTTTCAGTGAAGACACAGAGTCAGCTTGTGAGGCTCTGCCGACAGATTTCTGTACTGATCTTTTTCCCATTTTCCATTTACCTTTCATCACCCTGTCTCTTTTCCTCCCCTGTAGTGGACTTGAATAACGTGAGGTTCTCTGCATACCGAACAGCCATGAAGATACGCAGACTACAAAAGGCATTGTGCTGTAAGTAAGGAACACAAACACACACACACACAAGGACCTTAATGATTACAGTTGTGGTCAGGCTCTTCTGATATTTAGGAGCTGTCGTAATGGTTTAATACTTTGCCAGAGCAGCAAAGGTACCAGTGGTATGTAGCGTTTAAAAATACTTACAGCTGCATAAATCTCTGTATGAATGTGTTTGTGTGTGAACATTGTGGTCCACACACTGTCACAGCTGCTGCAGGTGTAGAATATATCTTCATGTGTTCTGCACAGGTGGGATTTATTTATTTATGCAAAAAGTTTACATCTTAGTGTGTGAGTTTCCATTTTCTGCTTTATATACCGTATTTTCTGGACTTTAAGTCGCACTTTAGTTTGGCCAGTCCTGCGACGTATTGTCCGAAGCAACTTATTTACATTTTTTTTCCCTATTCATGACGCAATTTTTGACTGACGCGTGTAGTGATTCGCTACACGCGTTAAATATTCAATCATACTGACATGAGCCAAAGAGTAAACTGTGAGAGGGCCCTCTAGGCTTTTGACAACTGTTGTTCCTCTTATGCCCCCCGTGCATACATTCACTTAGAGACAACTGAGAAAAACTTAACACAAGTAAAATGTCCAGAAAAAGAAAATCCTATTCTGCATATTACAAACTGCAGGTAATAAAATATGCAGCCCAAAGCGGTACTTGAGCAGTAGAAAGACAGTTTGGAGTGAATGAGAAACTTGTGAGGGACTGACGAAAAGCAGAGGTGACTCTAACTGCAATGAAGAAAACGAAAAAAGCTAATCGCGGGCTGAAAGCAAGATGGCCAGAGCTCGAAGGCCGAGTGCGCAGCTGGGAGAGGCTTATCGATGGTCCAGTTGCATCTCCACGTCATGGCCGTTGTCAAGGAGATGACTATGAATGATTTTGTTGGTGGACCTTCTTGGTGTTATCGCTTTATACAGCGTAGCCGCCTCCATCAGAGCACGGACATCGGTGTGTCAGAAACTGCCAACAGACTTTCAAGTCAAGGTTGACAGTTTTTGTGAGTTCTTTAGAAAGCAGGTAGCAGAACATACATGTCAACATTGACATCCCCATGGGTCGACGTGTTGCACAGAAAAGGCAGAAAAGTGTGAGTATAGTGACAACTGGTCATGAGAAATCACACTTCACAGTGGTGCTAGCATGTTGTGGAGATGGATAGAAATTGCCACCGATGGTCATTTTCAAACGTAAAACTGCCAAAAGACAAATGCTGCACTAAGCATCTTGATGGTTTCTTTAAAGCATGCAAAGCCCTGCTCGCGATGGATAGTATGCGAGCGCACATAATGCCACATTTCAAAGATAAAATAAAAGCTTGCAACTCTATACCTGCTATCTTCCCTGGAGGCTTAACCAAAGTACTCCAGCCTCTCGACATCTCGGTGAACTGGAGCTCTAAGGCAGCCTTGCGTGTGTCGCTTGTGGGAAACCTGGATGGAGAGCACACATTCATGGCAACCAGAAGGATGCACATTGCAAATTTCCAGCAAGTCTTTGGATGGATCGACAAAGCATGGACTTCAGTGACAACTGAAACCATCCTGTCAGGATTTAGAAAGACCGGAATAACTGGAACTGATGTGGAGTCTGACGACAGCCCCGCAGAAGAGGAGACTGCCCTTCGTCTTCCTCCGGAGTTGGCGGAGTTGTTCAGAAGCGACACCGAGGATGAAGAATTCAATTGATTCAGTGATGTGGGATGAGATTGGTGAATTTACCGGTAACTTGCTTGTCAGACTCGTTGGCTTGTCTTAATTAAGCCTGTTCAGGATCCCAGGTATGTTCTGTGTGTTGTTATTTCAGAATAAATGTTTGTTCTTGCACTTTGTGAAATATACTTCTAAATAAATGCAACTTATACTCCGAAGTGACTTGTATATTGTTTTTTCTTCTTCATGAAGCATTTTTGCCTGATGTGACCTATACTCCGGAGCGACTTGTAGTCAGAAAATACAGCAGTTGTTTTGATAAATGTGACTATTGCGAACAGTTTTGTATGTTTCCAACACCCACCTATCTAAATGCACACAGATTCAGTCACACTGTATATGCATATACCCTCGTGAGGTTCAGCCTACATGGCAGTAGCTACTTGAAGTCAGCACAGTGTGATAATAGTGATGAACGATGGCATTTATCCAGATGCTGATGTTAGAATAACAAAACATTATGAGCAGACATCACTCATTTACATCCTGCTGTTTGTTGGAAGTTTGTGGAGGAAAAAAAACAATACCACTAAAACATGCAAGGAGCTATAACACGCCATGCCTGTTGCGTTTTGCAAAGCAGTGTGTAGTCGAGTCACTGCCTGTTGGTGTGTTCTGTTTGTTGCTTTATAATGAGTTGCAATGATTCAGACACATTTTGATTTACTGTCTCAGATTGCTTCTTAAACCACGTGTGTGTGTTTCTGAAGAGAATGCATCAGACTGAGTGAATCTGATGTGAGGTACTGCGGTTCAATTTCATTCATTAGATTAGAACAGCCACAGTGAAAAAGGCTGTGCAGCAGAAGGATCAGTAGCTATTAGTTTTTAGCCTGGATTCATGAGCTTGGTCGACCCATGTGTTCCTGTCTGAATATTTATGTGTTTACATGCCTGTTTGTGGGAGAGAACAGCACACATACATGTATAATGAAGATAATTGGGTTAAGTTTGTGCCAGAAGGCTAAAGAAGCACAAATTAGCATCTCACTAATGTGCCACAACCTTTTTAGCTTCGTATAATGACAAAGCTGGAGAGAAAGTGAAGTTTTGCCATCTGATAGCATGGCTGCCCTGCTGTGTCTGCTCCATGTGAATTACTTCAGTAATTAGTGTTGCCTTTGGAGCATAGCAGTAGAGAGAATTCACAAATTCATGTATTATCAGTTTCTCTCTTCAGTATCATGTGTCAGTTCTTACCATGCTTTAAGTTTATTAATCATCTGACCTTCAGGTTGTGATAATCCTATAAGTCCGAGGGGGAAAGCCGTTATTTTTATTAGTAGGTGAAGATTCTGTACAGCTCATCCAATGAGTCGCTGAAAGTGTTGAAGCTTGAAAAGTGAAAGTCAAGATATCTTCCAGCAATGTGCAGGGCCAGTGGGCATCTAGATGACCTCAGCTGAACCTAAACAACATAAAAATCTACTTGGTGTATTAATAACTAGCACACTGGCTTGTATAGAAAATTTGAGGCCCTGTTCACACCTCACAGTAACATTCGTCTTGGGTGATTCAACTGCTAGTGGACAGATCTGATTGATATGTGTTGATGTTTCTGTAAAAATAACAGTACATTTAGACATCTGAACAATATTATTATTAAAGCATTAACATAATTCTGAGTTGCTGGTGAAGGTTCTCAGTCATTCAGGTCATGATCGATTAAAAAAAAGGTTAAAAAAACAAAATCAACTGGACTTCTTAGGACTTAAAGCTGAAGATGTTTTTCTTCCCATCTGGGAGAATTTATCATTTCTAAAATGTCTGGAGTGTGTGGAGACCCAAGCTTTATAGAACTGCATGAGAGGCCTGGTTGTGTACCTAGATTCACATGCGGTTTAGACTAGAACTTTAGTCCACATGTTTTACGCCTTGTATTTGTACTATCTTTCACATATTTGAAAATGACAGGAAATATGATAAAACTAGCCATGTTCATTGTTGGCAATAATTTAAATAAAATTCAGTTTTATTTTAGTCAAAGCCTGAAAGAGCCGCGGCAGAGGTACCAAAGAGCCACATGTGGCTCCAGAACCACAGGTTGCAGACCCTTGTTCTATAAGATGACAGCAGAAGATGCAATGTGGTGTAACTCCAGTTCAGTAAGAGTTCCTGAAGGGAGGTGCTGGACAGTTTGTGTTCAGACTGCAAACGTGTGCAGACCAAAGATCATTTCCGAAGTTAGTCTAAGGCGGTTTGAGTGAAATAATTTTTAATGCCCTCCTTTGCCTTTCAGTTATGTGTTTAAGTCTTGTTAATGCCAGGTGTGAATGGGGATTCAGTGTTAAAAACTAAATATATGAAAGTCCTTCTTATTTTTCTCACAACTTTTATCTTGTCCTGATGCATGCTCCATAATCCAGGTAGGAAAATCTAACAAGGTTTAGTCAGGTCCTCGGGATGAATTCTTCTTTTATTGAAATGTTGAATTTATCAAGACTGAGTTTGTTGCACCTCCTCAGACTGAAGAAGTCTTTTGGATAAAAGATGAAACGTTTCAACAAAGAAGAATCCGTTCAGAGGACCTGACTCAACCTTGTTAAACTTTTATCTTGTTTTGCTGGTGCAAATTTCTGCTACTGGCGCGTTTCATTTTCAAACAATCTCCTGTAACTGGATCATATTGGACCATCTGCTTCTTAAGATACAAAACTCAGAGTGAGAAGTACTTTTTAGAACCTAATGGAGATATTGAGATATTGATTTAACTTTTTTTTTTTAATCTTTGAAGATGTGGTGAACAAATAAAAAAAACGCTTCTCGTTTTGCTGCTCTTTTGCTGTTAAGCTCTCAATTTTCCTTTATGAATAATTCACAAAAATGATGTTTCAATAGAATATTCAAATCTGTTCCTATAAGAACAGTGTGCCATTTCTCAGTCTTATGTTCTTTTCAGCTTTATCTTGTTGGCATTTGTGGAAAAATCTGAGCTGCCGCGGACAACTAAATAAACGAGCCAAACGTCACTTGCAACTTTTATTTACCTCTTCTTATACTGACTTTATTAAATTCAAATGTGTTTCTTATTCTCTTGAATCTGATTGTCACTCTTTCTATTAATTTTTCTCTCTTTAAAAAACAGTTTTTATTTATATACGTTTTGTTTTTCATGTCTTCCCTCTCATTCTGTCTGCAGTGGACCTGCTGGATCTGAGTGTTGCCCAGAGCACCTTCGAGCAGCACAAACTCACCAACAACAATCACCTCCTTTCCGTCCCCGACGTCATCAACTGCCTGACGTCCATCTACGACGGGCTGGAACAGGAGCACAAAGACCTGGTCAACGTCCCCCTCTGCGTTGACATGTGTCTCAACTGGCTGCTCAACGTTTACGACACGTGCGTATACCGTTTGTGTATTAAAAGTCAGCGATTATGGCTCAGCCTACATGCCTTCTTGAAATCTGTCACACGTTTTGCATCTGCTGAATATATCAGCGCGGTGGGTTGGCATGAAAACATCGCTACTGCCTTTTGAATTAATTGACACTTAAATAAGGATCGCTCCGGGCAGGCATGACAAATGTTAACATACATCTGTCTTTGTAAAGTCACATGTGTTACCTGCTTAAATACAGAAAAAAGAAAAAAGCAGTCTGACTCGCACTTCACAAACATCCAGTAGCAACACACACCGAGATGAATGCCCTTCTGCTTCCTGCTTCCAAACACATAATGATTTTCTGTCACTGCCCTTCCATGCTACTCCAGATTTGAAATTAGCAGAACAAACAAAAACATATTGGATACATAGAGGCTCGCGTCGAGAGCAAATATGATTAAGTGGTTGCCATGTTCTGCTTTTCTCCACCTGCAGTGGTCGCAGCGGGAAGATCCGCGTCCTGTCCATGAAGATCGGCTTGCTCTCGCTCTCCAAGGGCCACTTAGAAGAAAAATACAAATGTGAGTGAAAAGGAGCAGATGATGAATCTGCTGTTGTTCCGTACTCTAAAACACAGAGTTGAATCTGCCCTCCCTCGTGCACTTCCGTCTGCAGCAGCCCACGCTGCTCCACCGCAGCTGTAATCCTAGTAGTATTAATCAAACTCACAGCGGGGGGGGGGAATCGGAGAATGGTTTGTCTAATTGGATGAGAGACCTCCTACGTTTCCCCTGTTCTTTATTTAATTCTGCTTTCTGATTTATTTTTGAGGATTAGAGAGCGAGAGCTGGTTCCACCGGGAGACGACTTGTCAGTCTGGCTTGCTGCTCTTTGTGCTGCTTTATCTTCCTCCGTCTGTCTTCCTTCGCCGTCACTGCTCAAACTCTCGTTCATCTGTCTAACACTCCCACTTTGTCGTCCTATCTTACTTACTCTTACTTCTCCTCCTTTCTTCTTTCCACTGCCGTGGCACGAACCCTGTCCCAGAGCCCATTCGTTCCACTGGCAGTTTCTATTAGCTTGAGAAGGGTATCAAGCACGGCTGATTGCGTTCTTCCTCCTGTACTCTCTTAGAGTTTCATTTCCTGTCTGCCTCGTGCATACGCTCACTGGACTGCACGCACATCTGACCAAGTGTCCTGCCATTTGACACTCGGTGTAACGGCTTCCAATGTCGCATTTAATTGCGCGGCAGAATGTGTTCGGCTAACGATGAGGGTGTTGATCAGTGGAGGTCACAAGTGCATGTAATTGCGAGCGTGGCCACGTGAACGCATACTTAACAGAAGCTGGCATCAGAGCCCGACTTCACATGGAGATCAAAGACAGCTGCAAGCAGAGCGGAAGAACCCGTCATCCTGCCTGTTTTCTGCTTCCCGCTCTTTCACAGCATTACCCTCGCTGCCCTCTTTCCTCAGTTTGTGACTTTATCAGGAAAAATCAATACGCGACACGTGTCACTGGGCAGAAATCTTCATCCAGCACAGCTGTGTCAGTCTCCACGAGGAGTGGAAGGATGAAAATAATAAATATGAATCAGCTTCTCTGGGGCTTTCTTTGTCCTACCTACCAATTCAATTCCTATTCAAATACACACGCGCACGCGTCCATGCTTTTCCACCCACTTGCAGCTGTACTGTCACTCTTCTATTTACACACTTGTCTTCCTGTCAATATCACCCACATCCTCTAATTTTATTTAAATTTTTTTTACCAGCACTTCCTCTTTTCTCATTTTTTCCCCACTTCTTTGTTCTTGCTTCGCGTCTCCACAGATCTCTTCAGACAGGTGGCATCAGCAGGTGACACGTGCGACCAGAGACAGCTCGGTCTGCTACTGCACGAAGCCATCCAGATCCCGAGGCAGCTGGGGGAGGTGGCCGCATTCGGAGGTTCCAACATTGAACCCAGCGTTCGCAGCTGCTTCCAGCACGTATGTTTCATTCAACCTTTATTTATACAGGTTAGTCTCATTCAGTCACGAGGACTCATTTGCACGAGTGACCTGTTCACACAGGCACCAAACGATAAGTTTTTGTGACTTTATTTACAATTTTGTAAAAATCTATGTGCAGATAAGCCAGGAATTTCCCGACGTTATGATGCACTCTGTACATATTATCCACATAAGAGCTATTTGTTAACACTAGTTGTAGACAAAATCATTGCCTGCATATTGAAGTGCACACAGGTTGACTTTTCAGTCAGGGTTAAGTAATGATTCCCAAATTTATATCTTTAAAATCTGGTTTATATTGAATTTCATTGTTAAAACTTTACAGGAAGATGAGTTGGATCAGAGATACATTAGCCTCCATCAGTGACAAATTACAAAAATTTGTTGTCAAACTAATCCTGACCCCAGAAACAATTGTTTTGAAGGAAACGTTCAAATTCAGTTCTTTGTGTTAAAGAAAGGTTGAGCATCAGAGGTTTTTATGGGTGCATTCACACCAGCCCTGTTTAGTCCACTTTAATCGAACTCTAGCTCGTTTCCTTAGAAAGTCCGGTTCGTTTAGGGAGGTGTGAACGCGCCATCGAACTCTGTCACGGAACAAAAAGGCGAACTCTGGCCCGGGCTAAAACCTAGGTCTCGGTTCGGTAGAAGCGAACTCCAGCGCGGTTCGAGTACAGTGTGAATGTAAACAGACCGGACCCGCTCCACAGGACAAACAAACACGCATTTCTCTGACCTTATATGGAGCCGTCAGCTGCCTTGTGTGAAAAACAATATTCTCCATGGTCTTCTGTCTCATCTTCTGCTCATGCTGAGTCCATTTTTGAAAAATGACAAAATATAACTCCTAAAACTGCTAAAACTTGATGCCACTTCGTTTTTATTTTTATTTACAGAAGAAGAAGAAGACCAGAGGTTTTTGTGTCATTTCTTTCAGTAGTTCTTGGTGCAGCGCCCCCACAGGCGAGCGGGGGAATAGGTTGGTTCAACAGGTTGACTCGACTGCACAGTGCAGTGTGAATGCAAACTCACCAGCTCAAATGTAAACAAAAGCTCATGAATATTGGTCCCGAACCGAACCAAGTCTACCGGATAACTTCTTCAGAAGAGAAACAGAAATACATCTTTAGTGGCAAAGATAAACAAAAATCAGTTTACTGAACCACAACAATATTTGACATAGTGATGTTCATTTTTTATAAAAACGAGAAATGTGTAATTTTCTTTAGATGTAGGAATTATGAACATTTTGCTTCATAAATCTTCCAGATAGCAGCTGAATGTTAATGCTGTAAAAATACTCATGTCACATAAAAATTAATGATGCAAATAATGGTAATCATCAGTAGATTAGATTTTGCCTTGATTATGCGGCAAGGATTATTAACTAGACTATTATTGTTTGCATTCATGGGTAAAGGAATAAAGAAGCAGAAAACTTTAGGCAACTTTCCTTTTGGACGTGTGGATTTAGATCAGCGCTAATAATTAGTGATTTGGTAACAATGCTCTTTATTTTTTCATGAAAATGCTTCTTGCCATAGATATACATTTAGGGTTGATTTGCCAGTTTAATAGTGTGAATGTTTATGAAGCATTCACTCTATTGTGATCCTTTTTTCTTCTGTACGTTTTTCAGCATCACTCTCGTTCCACAATTTTTGTGCTATTTCAACAAACCATATATCAAAACGTTCAGCTTTTTCAGGAGAAGGGTACTATGACTTGTGGTATTGGTGCAACTTTAGCTTTTTGAAATTTATAGCTTTTTTTGTCATTTTTATTCTCATATAAAATGAATTGAGCTCATTTTACATTCTTCAAATCTGTTTACAACCTTTTACTGCTCCTTCCACATTTTGTTCTGGTTCAGCTTCTTTCAGCTTCCTTGTGCAAATTTAAACATTTTTTCAGCTACTTTTAGCTACTTTTAGCTGTTTTTTCTATGGTTTTGTGATCTTTTCAGAGTCAGTTCTTCTAAGTCCAACATTTTTTTGCTTCTTCTAACTTCTTTCTGCCAATTTCATTTTATGCATTCTCTGCTATTTTAGCTACTATTTTGCTGTTTTTATGCTAATTTTAGTTTTCTTTCAGCTAATTCCACATTTTTTGCACTCATCTCTACTATTTTCATCCTAATACGGTAAAAATGTGCTCTCTCTCACTTCTTTCTGGTAATCTAAGCTTCTTTCTACTTTTTGAGCTACTTTTCAGCTGTTTTTTTTTTTTTATATAAAAAAATTCCACCTTTTGTGCTCATTTCGGCTTCTTTCAGCCTAATTGGGCAAAACTGTTCTCTCTCTACTTCCTTCTGCTAATTTAAGCTTGTTCTACATTTTCAGCTAACTTTTTTACATTTTTAGCTAATTTCAGCTGTTTTTAGATAAATTCAAATTTTCCAGGTTAATTTCAGCTACTTTCAGCCTAAATAACTTCTTTTTGCTAACTTCATCTTCTTATGCTTCTTTCAACTTATTTCTGCTAGTTTCAGCTTTTTCTGCTACACTATTTCAGCTACTATAACTGTTTTGAGCTAAATTTAGCTTTAACAGCTAATTCCACATTTTTTAGCTTGTTTCAGCTCCTTCCACTTTCTTCTGGTGGTTTAAGCTTCTTTCTGCCTTTGCAGCTACTTTTTTGCTAATTTCAGCTTTTTTTTTAGCTAATTTCCTAGCTTTTTTTTTTTAATTTTTATTTTTACGAATTTTACTCAGTCATAATTCAGCAAATGTGTTCTTTCTGCTTTCTTCTGCTAACTTCTGCTTGTTCTTCCATTTCAACTACCTTTCAGCATGTTTTTAGCTAATTACATCAGTGTTTTTAATACGCATTCACACTTCATTTTGACAGGAAATGCTAGTTCTCTAGTTACTTTTAGCATTGACATGATAACCTGGCATTAATTCTTACATCTGGTTTATTAAAGCCTCAAAAACAAATTGCATGTGGAAAGATCAATGATTTTGCATGTGTGTGTGTGGTACAGATGATGTAATACTCTCCAGAGAAAGTTGTAATACTTATGTCATGTGTATGTTTTAGAAATATTAGACATTCTACATGTCTGTTTTTTTTTCCTCTTGAATGGATTCCTGGTCTTGTATCATAAATCTACAGCTGCCAGCTGCTTCTTGATTAACAGCATCTTTAAAAGCTTAAAATCGTGAAGTTCATCAGTTTCTTCTGCCTTCCTGTAGCCTGTGCTGCCTCTCTTAATCTTGTAAAACATTCTTTCATATTGTCACTTTGCTGACCAACCATGAAGTCTCGACCTTTACTCCTTTGCTGGCTGTCCTCTAGTGTTTTACTGCAGCCATCCAACAGCTCCACTCAGGTTTATTTCTGAATGTTACCGGCGTCGGCTGATGTTGCCGTCCCATCGGGTTCATTGTTTTAATGTTCTCACAGTTTCTCCTTTGGCTCACCATTTGCCAGTCCTTGACACGAGCCAAAAATTATAAATCTTACTGATTTCTGGCGCTGCATCTCCCAAAATGGCAGGGTGAGGCATATTTCAACATGCATTTGTTATTTTCATACACATGATCGTGTTAGAGTACAACCACATGAACACAAGAAATTGCTCACAGATGTGGTTGTGAATCTCTGTCGGCTGTAGTTCAATTACCCATTAATCATTCAATTGTCCAGCCATGTTTGACAGGTAGAAACCAGAAACACACACACTCAATTGCTCACTGTCATCAGTGCATGCACACATTCATACAGATACACCTGCACCACCTTGTGCACCCAGTAACTCTGCAGACCCTCTGTTTGTTTGTTTTAATGGTTCTGTGATGAACCTCGCCATAAATTAAACTTCTTTCTCTGCCCTTTTATCACTCTTCTTCATATTTCCATCCATCTGCCTATCCAGTCGTCCTTTCAGCCAGCCAGTAATTAATCTGTTAGTGCTATAATTCAGCCGTCAGATGGCACAGAGGAGGAGCAGGAAGCTGACAATGAGATGAATGTAGGTGAGAGAAGAGACTGTGAGATTGTGCAAAGGTGAGTGGAAGGGTGAAGAATTTTAAAATGATCTGACATGTTGGTCTGAAAAGAGTTTCAAGCTAATCTTGTTTTGTAGCTCAAGGATTTTAAAACTACACATGAGATTTTATTTAAATGCAACATAACCATTAACCAAAACCAGTTTTTTTTTTTAGAAGTCTCATAGTTAAAGGCCCATTAAGCTGAGTTTTATAGAATAATCCAAAAGCAATATTTTACGGGGGGGGGGGGGGGGGGGGGTTGTTTCTAAAATATTTTAATTGAAATTTTTTATTAGTTTTAACAAACACAGTTCAAACATTCTGCGAGATGTAGCAAAACAGTGATAGTATTACTTAGACACTGTGTTCAAACCATGTTTTTCTACTAATGCTTAGTGTATTTGTAGTTTAACATGTTTTTTTAGTTCTTACAGTATCTTAGATCTTATTACTGTTTTTCTTCACAATTTATACTTTTGTTGTATGTAACTGGGACCCTGTGTACACAGTTTTGTTCCACCACATGTACAACATGTGGTGCGAATGACAAATAAAGAAACGTTGACTTTGAAAATAACAAATACAAACAAAAAACAGCAACAAAGTGCCCCTCACAGAATCCTGATCATAATGCAACTTATCATAAACTCCACACATCATCGACATATTGAGGTCTCAAATACAACAACGTAGATATCTTAAAATAATTATTTGTATTTAGGAAGTGCAGTGTACACCTCCTTCAGTCACTTGCACTGTCTTCTGGTATGTTCAGATCTTTAATATACATAATGAAAGGGTTCCAGATACACTCAAACAGGTCCTGTTTGCCCTTTAATGCATATGTAATCTTTTCCAGAGGGAGAGCAGATAACATCTGTCGGATCCATTGGTTGACAGTGGATCTATGAGGTCTTTTTCCAAAACGATATACAGTAGTCCCTCGCTACTTCGTGGTTCGTTTAGAACGTTAGGTCATGATTTTGTGGAAATAATAAAACCTTTAAGAAATGTATTTAATTTAACTGTTTTCTAAACGTTTTAAAAAGAAATGAAGCTATTAGAATTCTAACAGTTCTGGTTTCCATTTTGAAAGATGACATTAATTAGAAAAAACAGTTCTAGTAAAATAAACTTATAATTGTGTGTAACTTTGTTATCAAGTAAATGTTTATTTTTCGTGTGCAGAAAATGGACTTTCTGTAAATAAATAATGAGCTGAACAACAAAACTTTGTTTTTACAAGTCTCCATGCTATTTGACGAAGAACAATTCATGTCTTAGATCTATTCTGAGAATTGTTTTCGTCTTCAAACAGTTTTACTCAATGCTTATTTTATTATTATCGTGATGAGTGCACTCTTTAATTTCAAGGAATGCTATTTTACAATGTTTTAAAAAATATAATTAGTATTACAAAAGCTTTTATTTTTTCAGTTAATTAAATCCTTTCTTACTGCAGATTATTATAGTGTGAACTAACTGTGAATATTTATCAGAATCAGAATCAGAATGCCTTTATTGTCATTATACGCAGTACAATGAAATTAAGAGCCACTCCTTTTTCCAGTGCAAAAACACGCCTTAAGAAAACACACATTAAACACACACTAAAAATATAAAAAATGTAACGCAATATAGATATAATAATGAAAGTAAAAAATACAAGTATTACACAATTGTATTGCACATTATGGATATTAGTGAGGTAGTTAAGGTGACTGAGGGTATGAAATGTCAGTAGTATTGCACAGTAGAAGTCCAGGGGTTTGGGAGGTTATATTATTAAATCAGTGCATGTGTGAGTTCAGTGTGGCGATGGCTTTCGGGAAAAAAACTGTTCTTGAATCTGTTTGTTCTTGTTCTGATGCACCTGTAGCGTTTCCCTGAAGGTAACAAGTCAAACAGTTCAAAATCCGGGTGTGAACAGTCCATGATTGTTTTCTGCTCTGTTGAGGCAGCGTGATGTGTAAATGTCCATCAGGGAGGGGATTATAATGACGAAAGTAGAGTATCAGCGGTTAGAGAAGGTTGGCCTGTGATTGTAAGGCCGCCGGTTCAACTCCCCGGACCGATAACATCAAAATATGGGTGGGAAAGGTGAAGCACCCACACCTGCCTCTGACTTCATTTGCCCTGCTCTGGGCCCTTGAGCAAGGCCCTTAACCCCCACCATCTGCTCCCCCGAGCACCCTATAGCCGCTCTCTGTTCCACACAGTAGCTCAGTGGTGTGCGGTTGTGTCAGGAATCAGGCGTAAGAGAAAACAACTACCAAGTCTTCGTTGCTGTGACGACCCCTGAATTCAAAGTTTTTGCTCGTAACAAATTTCTGTTTGATTATTTAAACGCCTGAACGCATTTGCTTGTAAAGTTAGGCTGCAGTGTAGCCTTCTGGGAGAGGGTTTTTAGAGGAAGATCCACAATCTTTGGATTATTCTTTCCTCTTGGACTTGGCCCTTTGCTGCGTTTGATGCCCTTTTTGTGTCATCACTGATGGAAAGGTTGCCTTTGATTTGTTTCACAGGAACAACAGTCGCACCAGTTTGTTTAATGGACTTATCATCATCTTACTGGCTATATAAATATAAAATACAAAGTTATATTTATTGTGGTACTTTAATTAACAAAAGGTTCATGGAGAATAGAAAAACAAAGTTTCTTTAAATACTTAAAACAGTAAAAATAATGTACAGGTTACATAATAGGTCCGCCTTCTAAACTTTAAAACAACAGCTAGGAGCTAAAAATTGTTTCCCACACTGTGGTAAAATCCTCGGGGTTATCAGCCAACAGCTAAGATCGTGTATAAACAAGGACGGTGAGGGCGTTTAAAATCAGTTTATTGTAAGATGTTCCGAGCAATAAATGTGAATAAGATGCTCGTAAAAGTAATTTAGCCTCTGTTCACAACTCAAGGCCGTAACGCGTCTCAGGGACTCGTCATTTCAATATATGTGGTCATCTTAAATTTGTCAGCATGTTAGGAGTTTAGTAAAGAGTTACGGCCGTTTAGTGCACGTGCACGTTTTTCCTCCCATGCTGCCAAGGATGTGCCTGTACAGGTTTTTATAGGAGCTAAAGCTTCAGACAGTGGATGCATATTTTATTTTTAGGCTCCAAGCTCTTGACCACTTGCCTTTTTTTTTTTTTATGGCCAGGTGAACAATAAGGTGGAGATAGAGCCTCGGCAGTTTGTCGACTGGATGCATCTGGAGCCTCAGTCTATGGTTTGGCTTCCTGTCCTGCACAGAGTGGCCGCTGCAGAGACGGCAAAACATCAGGCCAAGTGTAACATCTGCAAGGAGTGTCCTATAGTGGGTTTCAGGTAAAAACACGTTTTTTTTTGTTCTAATATTTGTCATGTTTCAGAGTTTGTTGAACTTTGCGAAGCACAAAAACTAAAGAGGCGATTAGAGCTTGTGTAACAGGCCGCACTTCTACACAAAATGTGACATTCTTCTGGGTTGTTCTGTCTTGATCATAAAGGCCAGATGTGCTCCAGAGGGCAAGACATTTATCGAAATGTCAGCAGCTGATACTCTACTGAGTAAATACCATCTGTAGTTTGTAATGAAACGCACTCACTCGCTTAAAGAAACAGCTCATACTCAAAAACACACAAGGGTACATCACAAACACGCTCTCACGCTTCTGTAGCTGCCTTCGTTTCAGCTCGTTTCTGATAAATTACTCGTATACTGAAACAACAAGGAAAAGATCAACAGTTTCAGTGAGCGCTAAGGAATAATGCTGGTTTTTCCTCTGACCAGTCATGTAGGAAGAGCTTTTTCCATTCGTGGAGATGAGTATAACGCCGTTCTAAGGGGAGCAGAACAACAGGGTTTTTCCTCCAGATTCATTGCTTCGCAAGCAGAATGAGAAACACGTTCAGACATTTGATGAAGCACACATCTCCCGAGTTGTGTCAGTGATCGATGAGAGCGAGTGATGGTGGGAGGGGAAGGCAGAGAGGAAAAATGAAAGAGGAGGAAAAATGCATTGCAGGCATTTTGACACCAAGATGCATTTGTTTTTAAGTAGCAAAAGTTTTAAACCTGTTAGAGCTGAGTTTATTATGTGGACATCACACATTACACATTCAAACTAAATTATTATTATTATTTTGTTTGTTTGAATGAATTTTTCTAAGAAATTGGAAGGATCAAAAGCCCCCACATTAAAAATTTTCAAATGGTTCTGTTAAAAAACTATCTACAGGGTAATAAACAATGATTAATGCATGTTGTATTTGTGGGTTTTAAAAAACAACAACAAACACTAAAAATGGAACCTTCTTTCAAGCAATGCTTACTTTGTAGACAGTTTTTTTTAGAAGATGCTGCATAATTTATTGGTTTTAACTTGCATGATGCAGGAAAACATTAAAACGTTTAATTAATAAAGCGTCACGGTTTGTATTTGATAAATGTTAAGGGGCAGCTGTAGGGCACTCCATTTGGGACTGGGAAGTTGCAGGTTTGATTCACCTTCATGCCCATGTTGTGGTGTATTTGAGCACGACAGTTATTTATTTTTATTTAACTCTGCTACTAAAAACAGGCTTTTTTCAAAACTTAATCACTATACAACATTGTACTATGTTACTTCCTGTGCTATGAAGTGTACTTGTCCTTGAGGCATTGTTACAACCCTTGGAATAAGTCTAGGAGGTGCAAGGTGTAACCCAAAAATTGTAAACTAAACAAAGCTAATGACTCAAAAACAACCCAACTTGGCATTACAATAATTTAATTGTGTAAGAGTTTTTGGGTGTTGCAGACAAAGGGGGATGCCATGAACGTCAGGGTCTCCAAGGCCAAAAGAACAAACAAAAGAATGCCCCTTCTGGCTAGAAAACAATCACCTGTTATCTAACAAAACTAAAACTACAATTCCTAGGCTCCCTAGCTGGCCACAAAACAGGAGAAAAGTTAGTTAAAAATAAAATGGCAGAGAACCCCTACCAAACTTCCCATCTAAACAAAAGGTTTCTAAAATAGAGTTGTTCACAGAAGTTAACAGAAATAACTCAGAGTTGCCAATGTTTTGCACAGAGTTCAGAGTCAACCACACTGCACTGCTCAGAACCAAGTAGAAATGCCCAAGGAGAAAGGGGTGTGGCGCTGGATCACTGAAGCTTTTATGCAGTCCACTGATGAGGAGGAAGTGATTCCAGGTGTGCAGCATGGTGAGACAGCAGGCCTGTAAACAAGCAAAAGAGGAGAAAGGTTGTCCTCTAGTAAAAGAACCCCTTAGAAATCAGTGGGCGTAACAGGCATATTACGTTTGCAAAAAGATTCAAATGACATTGTGATCTTTGGAAACAGGGAACAGGTGGAAGAGAACTTGTAGAGGTGGAGGTATGCACTTGAAAGAAGAGGAATGAAAGTCAGCCGTAGTAAGACAGTACATGTGTGAATGAGAGGGAGGCCGGTGGAACAGTGCGGCTACAAGGAGCAGAGGTCACAACGGTGCAGGACTTCAAGTACTTGGGGTCCACTGTCCAGGAAAATGGGGAGTGTGGTAAAGAGGTGAAAAAGAGAGTCCAGGCAGGATGGAGCAATGTTTTAGGGGTGATTTGTGATAAAAGGGTGTCGGCAAAGGAAAAGTTTACAAGACAGTGGTGAGACCAGCTATGTCGTATGGTCTGGAGACAGAGACATGGACATGGACAAAAAGACAGGAGAAAGAACTGGAAGTGGCTGAAATTAAGATGTTGAGGTTCTTTTTAGGAGTGATAAGAATGGATAAGATTAGGAATGAGATCATCAGAGGTACAGCACCTGTTGAACAACTGGGAGATAAAGTTAGAGAGGCCAGAATGAGATGGTTTGGACATGTCCAGAGGAGGGACAGTGGGTATACTGGTAGAAGGATGTTAGAAATGCAGCTGCCAGGAAAAAGACAAAGAGGAGATGTAGGGCTGCAGTTAGAGAGGACATGGAGGTAGTTGGAGTGAGGACAGCATGAGATGGAGGAGGATGTCTCGCTGTGGTGACCCATGAGAAACAAACCACTAAAAAGAAGAAGAGGAAGATGAATAAGAGTTGAAATCTGTTAAAAGGCTATCTTAAAATCATAGCTGATTATAATTGTATCAAATCTTTCATGCTAACTGTTTGATCACAGCTTGGATTGTTCTTCTGACATTTTGTCTTGTAGGTGTAATCTTGCAGAAAAGTATTCATAAGCAAACGTAAAAAAAAAAACCAAGATTTCAGGTTTTTCCAAAGCAGACCATGCAGAACAGATTCCATATTTGACTCGAGTTGTTTGATGAGTAAACTAATTATATCAGGGCCAACTCATCACTCCCAGGGTGAAGGTGACTTAACACCCTCTCCTCAAAGTAATATGCTGCTTGTCACATTGTAATGGCATATGTGACTTAGAGCTGGTGTGTGCACTGTTGCATCCTTTTGATATATCACTCTCCTTTGTAGCTCATCAGTCAGCTAACCTTGGGGAGAGCTGGGGAAGATGGGGGGGATAGAAGACTTAAGCTTTTGTCTGAATGACTCCTGTCTCAATCTAGCTGTTAAATGGTAGTCTGGCTACAGCTGCTGACAAAGACGTCTTCACTGTTGTCGTCACGTTGTTGTGTTTGGGTGAAAACCCAGCCATCTGTCATTTTGTCAGCATATTGTGTGTCTGCGAACAAGTGGAGGATTATGTGACAGAGTGATGGTGGGGAATCAGCAGCTCTCCGGAAGATGAGTCACATTGTAGTGTCACAAAAACAGGCCCTCAGGATGTAAAAAGTGCTTCCCAAACCAACTTTTGTCACTTTTTCGCCTCCATCTCTGTCTCCATGCAGGTATCGCAGTCTGAAGCACTTCAACTATGATGTCTGTCAGAGCTGCTTCTTTTCCGGGCGCACTGCCAAGGGCCACAAACTCAACTACCCCATGGTGGAGTACTGCACACCGGTGAGGACGTAGCACACAATTTACAGCTCACAGTTGTGGACTCACATTATCTCTCTTCAACACACTCACATACTCCACTTAACCATTTAATGAAAGCACCACATCCACACTTTCAGGCTTCGGTTACCTCCTATCCCATCTCAGTGTCAAATAAACCACTGAGTCTTCCAGCGCCTGAATATTAATTCTCTTATTATGCAAAGTGAGAGACGGCTGAGCCATCGCTGCAGAAAATTTGTGCAGATTTTTGTTTTGATTTGGCTAATGTTTTGCTCCTAGCACACGCTGTGGCTTTTTTTTTTTTTCCACCCCTTTTGGTTCAATTTCTTCATTTTACTCTAATTATATTTGTTTAAAAAGTATTCATTGTTTAGCTCTGAAACAGCTAAAACAGTTTTCATCCTTGTGGAAAGTCTCGTCAACACGTCGGAACGTCGCTGCGCAGATTTTCCTCTCGTCATAAAACAGCCTCAGTCATGGTGGACAAACCTGAAAGCTGCTGGCCTCCGATCAGCATTCTGGATGTTGGAAGGATTTTTGTGCAGTCAAGTAACTGTTTTTCATGCCAGATGTTTGTTTGATGGGTTTCTCTTTGTGCATTGGACAATTGTCTTTTTGAAGCAAACAAATGAAGACAAGGACATCCTTTTTTTCTATGGTGCATCAGTAAGATTATTTAGTCACTTATAAATACTGATATTAATGTTTTATTTTCCTTTTGTATGTTTACTGGGAAAAGTAAAAACATAGATTTTATCATGGGATATTAATTAAAATAAATATAGCCATGTATTAGCAATTATAAGTTGCAGAAGAGCAACTTAAATTCAGGTTTAATTAAAGTTCAGGTAGTGCAACTATCTACATATAACGGCTACAATTTCAGAAGCAAATGAAGTGTCAATCTTTACTAGACGCCTAAAGTAGCCGAGCAAAATGGGCTGTTTGGCAGTGCCAAGCTGATAAAAACACTATAGTCATATTCTGCTAGACAGACGCTAATCAATGCAGCAGAAATATGTTCTCTTTGGTGCAAAGGAGATATTTCTGACGGCATGATGGACATTGGAAGGAAAAAAAAACCTTAAAGACCTTCAGATTAAACATATATTTGAACTAAACAGCCAAAATGTTGAGCTTCATGCCTGCCAGTAAACAGTGAAGACTTATCACGGTCTCTGCTCCGAGGAACAACTGCAAGAAACTGTCCAAAATCCTCTCAGCATGAACTACTGAAGATGTGAGGATAAAGTAACGACTGGAACCAAGTGGAAAGAAGACAGAGATGCTTCTCAAAATGTGTCCTGAAGCATGCATGTACGCCAACCCTGGAGTGGAACAAAAGAAAACTAGAGAAATTGTATTTCCTGTCAAATTTATCATGTCCTGGATGACTGAGAATCTTCACCAGCATATTGCTGAAATGTTGCTGAAATGGATGAAGCCTAAATTAGCAGAAGAAAGCAGAAAGAACACTTATTTGTTGAAATAGGTTTAAATAAGCAGAAATTAGCATAAAAATAGGAAAGAAGCTAAAAATAGCTGAAATTAGCATCAACGAAAAAAAAGGGCTGAAAATTAGCTGAAAAAGGCAGAAAGAAGCTTAAACTACCAGAAGGAAACAAAAAGAGCTGGAGTGAGCTATTAAAAAATGTGGAATTAGCTGAAAAAGCTCAAATTAGCATGGAAACAGCTAAATAGTAGCAGAAATAGCCAAAACTAGCATAATTAAGCTGAAAGGAGCATAACAAGCTGAAATTAACTGAAAAAAAATTAATTACTAGCAGAAATTACCATGAAAAATGTGAATTTATATGAAAATAGCTAAAAATGCTAAAAAATGTAGCTGAAAAGGTAGAACAAGCATAAATTACAGAAGAAAGCAAAAAGACGTTTGCCCAATTATGCTGAAAGAAGCTGAAATGAGCACAAAAAGTGGAAATCATCTGAAAAATGCTAAAATTAGCCACACACAAAAAAAACTAGGTGAAAAGTAGCTTAAAAAGAAAAAAAAAAGCTTAAATTACTTGAAGGAAGTGGAGAGAGAACATTTTTGCTGAATTAGGCAGAAAAAAGTTTAAATGAATTTAAAAAAAATGTGGAATTAGCTGAAAAAGCTAAAATTAGCATAAAAACAGCAAAATAGTGGCTGAAATAACTGAAACTTGCAGAAATATGTTGAAAGGAGCACAACAAGTTGAACTTAGCAGAAAGATGTTTTATAGGCTGAAAGGAGCAGAAATGACCATGAAAAACTTGGAATTGATTTGAAAACAGCTGAAATTAGGTAATAAGCATTCACACAGTAAACATTACTTAACGAGTTTGATTTACATTTTCTAAGAATGGGGATTAAAAACCAGAAATTTGTCAACTTTATAAGAGGAAAACCAAATTAAAACTGAATAAAAAGCCTAAAGTTCAGCTTTTCTTTATTCATCACAGTTGTGGTAGTTTTACTGTTTTTATTTAGGGTGTCCATGTTTATCCTCTGCTCAAACAGATTTATGTCAGTTTCATACCATTAAATTCACCAAGGTGACAGTAAGTAAAAAAATTTGATTTTACTTGACAATGATTTGTGTTAGTCTGAGCCTTTTACATGATTACTGTTCTCATATTTATCTTTGTTATAAACAAACAACTTGGTTTTTTTTGTTTGTGCATTTAAATAGAGTGAAAATGGTGTGTTGTTCTAATTGATATTATCAGCAGCTTAAATCTTTTTTTTTTTTTTTAATCTTTCCTTAGTTTATTTGTTTCATTTTAAAGTCTATGGGTGTGTTTGTCAAATTAACATTTTGCAAAGTGACACAAACACTGTCACACGATGCACGAACAGCCACTGTATTACTGAGTTGCTTCCAGCTGGGGCTTAATGTCGCATGCATCTAATAAAGGCAATTAAAGTTAAGTAAAAGAAAAATAACATGTCTGTAGACGGGGGCTTTTGTGGAGTACACACTTCTTTTGAGTGGTTCTTCTTTAGTTTTTGGTGATTTGTTCAAAAAATCCCCTGGATTTTCCCTCCTTCTAGTCAGACTTGTGATCATTTGTTTCCTTGCGTGACTGAAACAGTTTCTGGAAGAAAAAGGCTAATTAGCTGACATGTTTTTGTCCACATAAATGATGATCCTTATTCCACCCAGATGAGAGCGAGGGACTGAATAACCTCTATACACAAAACAGTAAGCAAAAATAAACTCAGTCCTTTCTCTTTTTTTTCTCCCTCTCCCTCTTACAGACAACATCAGGTGAAGACGTGAGAGATTTCACCAAAGTGCTGAAGAACAAATTCCGATCTAAGAAATACTTTGCCAAACACCAACGTCTGGGCTACCTGCCCGTTCAGACTGTTTTAGAGGGCGACAACATGGAAACGTGAGTAGAACATGGTGATGAGACAGAGGAGTGCTTATAGCAAGGGTTTGGGTTATTTGAAGAAGCGTCTGAGGAAAGTATCTTACCTGTTGCAGATAGCTCTTTAGCCTAAGTTTGAAGAAATAGTGTAAGTACAACTTTAGTCTAAAAAATGTAATATTTAATAGTGATAGATTCAAACGTTATTTTATACACCTTTACACCACTGTATGTTGCCTTGTGAATGGCTGTGCTGATTCAGCACTATTATACGATTTGATTTAACATTTATCAACATTTCCTCTATAGAAATGCACTGAGCTCTCTTCACTTATTTAAAAAACATTGTTCTCTGAAATCAGCAGAAGCCCTACTTTTTTGTATTTACTGTACATTAGTCCCTCGCTGCTTCGCGGTTCGTTCATCGCGGACTCGCTTTATCGCTGTCTTTCAAAATAAGATTGTACATGACACACAACTGACTGATTGATGGATGAGCCACACAATTGGCATTAAATTTTTGTTTAAAATAATTTATTTTAAATTATTTAGCACCTGTGTGCAGCCCACAGCTGCAGAAAAAGCGTCCTGTTGCAGCTGATCAGCTGATCACCGCTCTGCAGTGGAGAAGTGGGTGTGGCCAAGAGCGGCTGGTGGCAGAGAGCTAATCATGACATTCTGTGCTTTTTTTAAGTGTTTAGAGTTTAGAAATATTGATTAGAATATTGCAAGAGTGTGGAAAGGGTTTAAGACTCCTA